TAATTTAACAAATGAAAACTCGGTAAAGACAAATGATAAAGCAGAATACCTTTCGTACTACAAGTAGAATTTTTTCTCTGAACGAGCTAAGCTCCTACAGGCTAGTTACTTTACCTAACGGTAAGTTTACAGCATGCAGAAGTTACTTTCTTGTTCAAGATTTGCACAACAATATAAATTCCTTATGTTACCTAAGATATTTGGTTAAAAGGAAGTTGTAAGAAGTTGTTAATCATGATATTCCCGTGTACAATAGTAAGGATTAGCTGGAACCTTTCATGAGTTAAAAGCTCTCCCTTTGTGAGAGCGCTGATACCGTTTCCTTATGAAAAAGTAGGAAAAGGATTGTCAGAAATTCCGTTAGCCCCCTTCTCTCCAAGACGGCATAAACTTTGAAATGTCTCCAGAAGTTGCGGACTTGGTGTCTCGCTGGTACCCTTGGAGATCTGCACAAATTCGAAATGCCCTAGGGTTCTGGTCCGCGTGTTGTTCAGTAGCGGTACAGCAGTCTATAGAGACCGAGAGGGCACCGAAATCAGCTTCAGTGACAAACAGGACGTGGAAGGGACGGAGATGACAGCTTGGCAAAATGCCGGATTAACCATTCGGAGTGGCGGTTTAAATGGTGTGTGACCTATACAATGACCTGCAGTGGCAAGCCAACATGCAGGCCATGGGAGATGGGTAGTAGGAACCATTTTGTATAATCAATCCGACGCATTGGCATGGTTCTAATGTTAATTCTTTTGTTCCTTTACTTCTTACCTGCCGCTGCACTCTGCTACATTCCTTCGCGCGCGACGTCTCTCTCGCCGCGACGCGACAATTTCGTGCCTACTGCACCACGCCAGTGCTCTCATCCTACCAAACGGGTCTGGTACCATCGTGTTGGCTTGGGCGGCTATCGATCAAGGATTAAATCTCGGAACCACGAGCGTGACAGTGCGTCCATCACTTAACTCGATAAACATCACGTCCACCCTTTTTTGCGATTTCCTCTTGCAATTTTTTATAACATCGACATTCCCACTGACATCATAACTATCAGAAAGAGTCAAATAAAATACTTCCACGTGACTTTTTGCATTTTGCATTCCCATCGGTGAAGCTAAAAATACGATAGGAGCCCGTTAACGAATTAATTCCTGTTTTTCCCTTTGCTGGCCACAACTTCTAGCAAATCCTCGCTTGAGTAATGACTTAAAGACATACATCACGTGATCAAAGTAGGAAATCTTCTGCTAAAAGATGTATATAAGTACAGTATTTATGTTTATGTAAAGTATCTGCGAAAACACAGTCACCTGGCAACCATTCAGAGTAAAAAGTAGTAAATTGTTTGTAAGAGTAGCTTTTCGTAGTGGTTGTACTCGTGTGATGAAAATCTTTTTGACAAAGTGTAAACAAATTAAGGGTCCCAATCTTCGGGTGCTAAAAAATGGTTTTAAAAAGTTTATGCAGGTTTTGAGGAAAGCCTTACTAAACTACAAAGTTACTAGAAACTTTTTATAATGCGCTCTGACGGCATTCCCTTGAAAGTGTCTGCCTGCACCACCCTCTTTGCTTGGTTTTTATTCATTCAAAAATACGTGACGGCCACTTTTCAAGCCGTTGCTGTGAAACGAAGAATTCCTTATTACAAATTCTGACGTCATTAAAGTTCAGAGGTCTTTATGGAAATCGGCTCGTTTTAGATCCGAGCATTTGGGGACTAACGCTCCGGCCAGATTATCCCCCTTTGAAAATGGGTCTGAACTGCTTTTTTACCCATGCTTTTAGGTGACTTCGGGCTACCTCCATGTCCTTTTGTTACTCGCTACTATTCATTTAGGAAACTGTTTGTTATTTTGTAGTGGTTTTACTTATGACAACAATTTAGGAATGATTTTTGCTAATTAGAAACGCTTTTTATATTCAGACTGTTGTAAAAATACGCTCCCTTCAAGTTTGTTACTTTTCTGGACGGGGGCGGTCTCAAGAGCATCAGGAATAAAGCCGATAAAAAATCTATGAGAATTAAATAAAATTTATAGAACAGGGTATAAAACAAGTTATACCATCAAACTTGTAGAATATTGTTAGGGTATTACTGATGTGCTGAGTTGGGGTAAAAAGAAAAGCCATAATAGAAGTTTCCGGAAATAGTGGAATGAGAAAAACCACCTGTCCGGCCTATAATTGATCGTAGGCTACACAAGTAAAAGTATTTCTTTGTAAATCACATGTTACATAGTCCCTTTAAAGGTACAAAACAGTGTTTTTCACGGGTTACTGGATTTCTCCGGTCAGAAAAGTTCATTTCTCGGACATAACAATAAAAGCCAACTTCCAGTCAAAGGCGTCTGCTTCCTCTCTCCGCCCAATTCGGTCAATCTCCCCCTATTCTTCAGAAGCTTCGGGGTAACGAAACAATAGAGGAAGTTCATTCGGGCGTGTTAACTTCTTTATGGCTGCCGTTTATTGTTCTTAGGCAACATCCGATGTAAATGACGAAACTTTAACATAAAAAAGGGGGAACATGGAAATGAGCTTCGAGTGAAAGAGTTTTCAGCCAGCTTGCAGACGATTTTCCTGTTTCAGCAGCTTGGAAACGCCAATAAAGGGAGTGTTGCGATTCCACTCTCGACTAGTGGCAAATAGAGATAGTTTCTGTAAAATTTTCTTTTACTGCTTGGCAAAGATTAACTTAAGTGCCACTCTGCTTTACCAGTTTTGAAAAGATTGTTAGCGGATGGAAAACATTGTAAATCAGGAGATCCTAAACAAAAAGGCCTCTGTTGATTCCAGCTGCATGTTGTTTCTTTTTCCATTCAAAAGGTTACTTACTCAGCACAAATTACTGCTTCCTACTTGTTTTACCTACTCAGACCATAACAGTAGGTAACATTAAAATACATCTTCTTCTGATTGCCCTCAACGGCTCAAATGAATACTTCTGACAGAGAATGACTAACGAATAAATCTGAAATCCTGTGAAACAAATTTAGTAATGGAGATAACTTTAGAAGGAAATTGACTACTTAATTTTCTTAGAAGGTAGTTCCATTTTCCATTTTGTGTATTGGAGATAACTTTAGAAGGAAATTGACTACTTAATTTTCTTAGAAGGTAGTTCCATTTTCCATTTTGTGTATTCCATTTATAAAACAGGTTCACAAGGACTCTGTACCATATTTCCGATTTCCGGAGGATACGAAAAAGTGCAGGGGAAGTTCACTTTAGATAAAAGCACAGCTCTTTAGGCTCCTTCCGTCATGCTTAATCTACAGAACGATTATAAAATAAAGTTTCAAAAAAATTATTTGCTGTCTACGGCTCAAATAAAGTGGTGTGGCACCATTTTGGAACAGGAATATAACAGAAAGTCCTACAGTCTAAGTTCTGAGAAATTTTTGAGTACAAGGCCCTATGCAGATGGCAACACAAGAAATTTGATTATTGCTGTTTTCAAGAATCAATCAACTGGTAATTGAAGACTTGATAATTGAAGAAAGAACTCATTCAATAATTAAAGAGCTTCTACTCAAACTAAAGTATTATGTAATCATGATTTTCAGGGCGTTTGTCGTCTTCTCAGCATCAGGCTCATTTTTTCTACCTCTTCTTGTAATGGTCGTCGTTTATGTCAAAATCTTTATCAGTGCACGACAGCGAATCAGAACAAATAGAGGTTAGTTGGAATCTTTACAAAACTTGAAAATAAACTTTCAGTACTTACTGCTACGTATATCTTGTCAAAAATGGCAGCAGTAGGCATTTTACTGGAAATTCTATGCTATTTATCCTGATTCGTACACTTACTTGTCAATCGGACCAACTGGATTATCGGTGTTGAGTTCATAGCATTTAGAAAATGAAATTCTTGAATACTACCTTATTCATAATGCTACTACGATACGATTTTTGAGTCTGATGAGCTCAGGTTGCCTAGCCCTTGAAGTAGGTCCAGTCCAGCCCAGACCCAGTAAGAAGGCCGGTTTCAGCCTTAAATCTGAGCCCGAACTAAGTTCGTGCTAAACCTGACTTGTACCGTGATGAATATGTGATTCTTTCAATGGCGGATCAATTGATAAGAATCTTTCTTTAACATTTTTGAAATGTCTAGAAGTGTCTATCACATTATACAGTTACTTTACTAAATACCTAAGCCCCAACTACTTTTTGGCGGTGATTCCCAGATGCTCGAACCTGATCAAACGGCTAAGACGGAACTCACTGCGTTGCCTTTAGGAACGTACGAAATCCCCAAAAAGCGTTGGATCTGCATCGATTGGAAAGTTTCAAAATCGTATAAAACTGACTTTCCGTCCCTGCACTTCTGTAGAGAAGTAATACCGAGGAGTAACTGGTCAATCGATCCCCTGAATACTTGGCTCTTCAGCTTATTTATCCCATAGTTTTTGTTCTCAATTCTTTGTACTAAGCGGTGGATTGGGGTCCAAACCCTTCGCGGATCCCACTAAATCCGGTTCAGTACGTCATCAACAAATAATCTGCTTTCGGCTTTTTTTTGGCTGTCTAGGAAAGCTTTAACACGCAACCACATGTCCCAGACTTCCGGAATCTCGCGTAAGTTGTACCCCGACCGGCAACTAAAAATAGCTGGCGACACGAATTACCATCATAAAACACAATAAAAAGCATCGAAAACAACGCAGTAGTGCCAACTTGAAAGTTCGGACACGAATTTTCAGGTGGCCCTGTTTTTTCCAAAAACACTGGCTTAATAGCAGAAGTTCTACCTGATGTGCAGTAGTTCTTGACCAGAATCAAACCTCGGGTTTTCCACAACCGCTATTTTTTTTTATTTTTATCAAAAATTCCATAATCTGTTTTCAATTCAAATTGTGCAAGTCGCTCTTTAACCCTTCCCAAAATTAACATATTTCAAATTTTAGTCAGTTTGGCTAAATAACAAGTTTGAAACTTTTATCATTTTGGTACTCACTTCTGGCTTGAAGGCACGAACCATCGTGGCTTTTAACCGGGGGTTAGCACCCATAAATGTTGCCTAAATGGTAAAAGGTTTGTACTCTGTAGAATCCATCTATCCTATGATGTCCTATTTCTAAGCCCTAGAACTAAATGTGTAATCGTGCTGGAAAAGGACATAGTGGAAAATACGTCAACCAATGTCGATGGTGCAGTGGCTAGTGGCGCGAAACCAAGGAAACATGGATGGAATCCGGAACGAGCGATTGGTACAAGCTCTTGCTATCTTCTTGCATCCCATCCCAAGCAGTTACCTAAAAATGAAAGGTCTCCAACTGAAATTTGGATCTTATTTAGCATGTTTTTGGCTTACATAACGCTCATTGGCTTCTGGTTAGTATAATGAAACCTTTGGATGCGCCACACATCAAACTTCCACTTCAAATTGTTGGGATTTTTGATGGTGCATGTGCCCTATGCATTTATTACACGGTTTTGTCCCGCGGTCGAATTTAGAAAAATCATTTCATCAGTCATGCTTTTAGAATGTGTCCCTACATTCAAATTTCATACAAAATAATCTTTTTAATTTGTATGTGGACCCCACAATGACTTGTACATCGGTGGAAAGCCGATGTACAAGTCAGCGCTTCTTGACCCTCCCAAAAAAGTGTGCTCCCAACTCTGACGGATTTTAGGCGTTAGCATATTTCTCTTTGAATTTTCAGATTTAGATCGACTAAATTTTCAATATTTCCAATCAATTATGCTATATGAACTCGATAAGCGAGTTGTTTTCCGGGATCTTCCCACTTGTATCTTTTTCACGGTTCAATCGGGTATAGTGATAGCGAATGAAAGAATCTGAACCAACTAATGCATCCATACGTCTATATCCTCCGAAATCTGGTCCTGTAGCTAATTGGCTTTGCGAGCAGCCCAGCGGTAATGTGAATGCAAGCAAATTGAATAAAGAAACCGCTGGTAAAGATAGATTTCCTAGCTTTTAAAGTAATACTGTCGCTGGCATGACTAAATTCTAGTGGGTGCCAATGTCATGGCAAGGGTTGGATGTGGCGGTTATATTTTACTACTTTTTGATTTTCTGATTTTCTTACTCAAAACACAGTACCACTTCCTCTTGTGCCCCTAATAGGGTCGGGTGGGATGTAGTGGGGCAAGCAGCTGAGAGGGAGCTACAGCCTCAGCCTTTTAGAGGGGTCGAGTAGGAAGCAGCGCTTCTCACACGTTCCTGTTAATGCCGACGCCAGGATGACGACAGTATAGTTTGAGAGCTCGGAGCGGTTAAATAATATCACTGAAAATAGGGAATACTTGTTCAAATAAGTAGTTAGAAGAAAGCCCAAGACTAGTAATACAAGTTCAAAAAGTAAACGTTCGAAAAGCAGAATTCTCGGTTTTTTTCAGGTCGAAGCGCTTTAATGCGTATACAAAACACTTCGGTAGAAGAGCGTGGAGGAGAACGTAGAAGTTTGAAGAGGTTCTCTGTCGAAAGCGCTAAATCCGGTGGTCGTGTTGGTGAGAAAACTCCATTGGTACATACCGAAGGCAGTTCAGTGGTCACCGTCATACCGAGTTCGGTAGGTCTTTTTTGAGCTTCCTCGAAGGGGTCTGTACAAGAAAAAGAAGATGCCGTACGGTGTAGAAGGTCCGGGTAGTACAGACAGTGCCCTGACCGTTCATAGCGGGCCTGCTCTACAGTCCAGTAAATTACCCTTACTTCCCAGAATTTTTTGCCGCGTTTTCGGAAGTACTGTATGTACAGTAGGTGTGTGGATAAACGAATGAGGACAGCAGTCTGCAATTGCCTCAGGACTTTCCCTACTTGGCCCCACTTTTTCTTAGTGAGGAGAGCTCAGTAGTACCAGTTTTTCAGATCGTAACCTACAATTAGATTTGGACTGAAGGGAAATTCCTATGAATTTATATTTATGAACGAGAGCTTAAAAGATGTTAACAAAATGCAGAACTCAGCAACCGTACTCGAAATAATCAGAAGAAGCTTTTGAAAATTCAAGATCAAAACTGTAAAAAGCCAAACTTGAACTATCGAACTGGACGAAAGCGCCTTGACGCTCCCACGAGCTTTTCGCCATAGCGGAAAAATAAAACAGAACTTAGTCCGTTTATACTCTGGATTTTTCTGATCTCTAAATCAAACTCTATGATTTTTGCGAATGACTTCAAAGCGTTAAGTAGTAATGAGCAGTTTTTAACTTCAGAATAAAGTAAACATTTAAGTTGCCTGATGGTGTAAACATGGATCAGACGACGAGAACAATGAGATATCACAACAATGGCTGCGTTAGACGAGATGGTGGCAAAGAAGCGGTCAGTNTTTGGAACGATCTTAATGGTTTAATTAATTTGCATTATGACGTCACTTTGAGTGTTCCTCACCCGACTATCTTGAAGCTGTTTTTTTTTGGACCAGGTCTTTTTCCAAAATCGAATTACATCCAGCCTTAATGGTGTTTTTCTTGGAATTTCATTTTCTCTGGTGGGTAGAAGTGTCGAGAGGTTCGTATCTCAGCACACTGCGAACAAATTAGCGTTAATAGTTGTTAATTTAGTGTGTTCCGAATGAACAATGAATTAATGCATAAGCTTCGGACTCCTTTCCTTTTCCTCAATCTATCTGGCACCTGATTCAAAAAAGGGAGAGCAGTATTTTGTTAGAAAATAGCAGAAATTGATTCGTTTGAGCCCACCTGTCCGCAATGCACCAGAAATTTTCTTTTTTAAATCAACTCTATCAACTTTATCTGTTCTAACTGGCTTATTTATGTTTATTTATGGCTCAGAGCACATTATTACAAGTACTAACACTAGTTTCTAAACAATTCAGAATTCATTAAGGGCTGGGGATGGGTTGAGATTGAATTAAGCCCACGAAGGGAAAGAGTTAGAGTTAGTTAGCAACTGGTATTTCTGACACTTTGAATAGATTTAATACTGTTTATTGGTATAAACAGTCATGTGCATGAAAATGTCGAACGTCTTCAGAAGTATCGTCCAATTTTTTGCTTTGTGAACAACTAGTAAGTCACACCGTATTACTCGTGGGCAGGAAGTTCACCAATATTATCGAAGAGTATTCGGAATTACCATATTTTCACATAATGTTTCAGTAGCTAATTGATATAAATGGTTTAGTAAAGTTTTGTCAGTACAGATACTACGCTGAGAAGTCTCATTGGCCCTGCCCTATCTACAATTCAGTAACCTCCACTTATTTCCCAGGTTCTGTCACCGCTACTTTGGAGGTACTGTATTTACAGTGTGTTGAAGGTACTGTGTTTAAAGTAGGCCGAGTATGTGGACAAAGGTTATAGGTACGACGGTTTATACCAGCCTCAACCCCNAGTTGAAATTTCTCATATCGTACATCTATTATTAACTGGTCTTAACTGATATCACTATACTCTTCTGATACCTTTTTCAGTAAGCCAGGTTCTCGGAAGCCAAATTCACAGACCTGATTGATTAAATATTAGGATTAAATATTAATGAAGCGTCAAGAGAACCTGATGCAGGGTATCCCTATATCCCTAAAATTGCTTAAACGGGTTCAGTGATTTTTTCTATCATTTTTTCCGCTTTTTTGTCATTGCTAAAAAGAGTAGGAATTTCCCCGAAATCGATCAATATTTTGCACATTTTTGTCCTTCGGCAACAGCTCAAATTCAAGTTCTGAATTACTGACTTGAAGATTTTGTCGTGTAATCGTACTGCCCGTTCGTCTTCTTTTAGATGTCGGCAAGGAAGCTGCATCATTTATGCCTAATTGTTGCCCGGCATCCCCCCTTAGTCCATGTTTAATGATCTGGCTCAATCCATACGCTACACGGGGATTCAGTGTTCCCCGTCACCCTTAATTGCTGAGCGTTTTCTGAGAACGAGTGAAAAAAAACGACAAAAAATTGAAAACTCTCGAAAAACTAGCCGTAATTTGGTTAAACTGTAAGTAAATTCATTTCCGAAATTTCTACAAGTTGATGTAAGGTGTCCGAGAACCGATAATGTTAGTACCAATTTCTTAATTATCATGTCAAATACATCTCATAAGAGGATTCAGAGACCAACGAGCTAAAGTAAGCAGGGATTGCTAAAATACACAATTTTCAAATTTAAATATTTTTAAAACTTTCAGAATTTACAAACTGTTTATCTACAGCGATCTAAACTTACTTCCCTCCCCTACCTTCCCGCGTCCCATTTCCAAAAAGCTCAGTTCGATTTTCCGGCGAGAACCCCACGACAAGTCTTTATTTTTATGGTTTCTGACGGGAAAAATGGGGCAAATGATATCGATTTGGTAGATCAGACACTAGGCTCATATTAGAGCTCTCCGATTGAGTTAATTAACAAATATAACTTATGAGAAATCTTAAATAGTAATGTGGATATTATAGTAACCCCATTGATGACCACCTACTATTTCTCCTTTTTTTCAGAGCAAATTGCTTTAACATCTAACGACCATTTATAGTTAAAGGAATATGCTTGACCTTCGAGGTTTCGTTTTACGTTGCTAACTTAGGTTCCCAATTACTTGATAGCTAAATAGTACTTCAACATACTCATGACTGATGACAACAAACCTAGAAACTGAACATTCTCAAAAAAAATTGGAAAAACGGGGGAAGTCCTCAATGCCTTGGTTATATGCGCTTCAAAAAATGGATTTTGTCCAAAAATAAAACAGGTCGACGAATTAATGATGAGTTGTTTAGAATCCACAAGCGATGCTTCGACAACGAGAGAAAATCAGTGTAGCCAAGGAGAAACGTGCAGCCAAGACAATTGCTGTGATCATTTTTGTGTTCACATTTTGTTGGCTTCCATTCTTCTGTGCCTACGTAGTTTTACCATTCTGCGACTCCTGTACACTTCATCCAAAGGTAAGTTATTGTCATTTCATCAATTCTGATCCCATATTTAGGTCCCCCACCCCCCTCCCCCTACTATTTTGCCCCATACCCGAAGCCACATAGCCTATCCTAATCCAATCCCTTGGTGTCGTCGGGGGTTATGCATTTCGGAGGGAAGTGTCGTCGCTGTGACAACTGACAGGTTGCCGACTGATTGAGAACCCTCCTCGTTGAACAAAGGAACAGCATGGGACCGGGAGATGATATGGGCGATAAAAATGCAGACGTTTCAAAAAACTGACCTTCTCAAAAAAAATTACTGTACTGGTTACTAGTTTACAAAACTTTTTTTCAGGTAAATCAGGCATTTACATGGTTGGGCTACATCAATTCATCACTGAACCCGTTCCTCTATGGCATTCTGAATTTGGAATTTCGACGAGCCTTCAAGAAAATCCTCTGTCCAAAGGCTGTACTCGAACAACGCCGAAGACGGCTCAGTGCACAACCATAAGCATTTAAAATTTCAGCATATACAAATTATAAAAACAAATAAATAACTAATTCATAACGGTAATAACAAAAGGTCCCCTCTGCAAAGTCGTCACTCCACTAAAATCACTTTAACCCCTTAACAGCCCCGTTACTCTATAGTCTTCCACATGATATAGTAATGTAAATAGTAGTTTTCACATCAACATTATTGTTATTATTATAGATTCGCCAAATTACCGATTTTTTAAAAATATTTCGGGTATATTGTATGAAAAATTGCAATGTGCATCGTTGCCATTCTCAATTACTGTGTCGTATAATGTTACCTTATCAAACAGGTGCTGTACTTGTTAAAATTGGAATGCCATTAAATGCTAGCGTTTTGAGAGTGTCATTTTCATTACTGTATGGAATCCTTTATACTATTACTAGTAATTGTTGCTCAACAATGTCATTGCTATAATTGCATATTGCGAACTATTGCTCTTTGTTTAGCTTTTTTTTATTTGCTTTTTATAAACGACTTTTCTGATGGTCGCTGTGTTCTGCCTTTCTCTCCAAAGGCTTTTCCTAAATAGCATTTTTCAATCAATCAATATTTATTATTTCTGTAAGCTTAATCAGCAGCCAATGACTATCATTTGGTTGTAGCTGTTGGGTGTCTGCTGTAGCGTGTACCAGTAACTTTCGCCATAATCGAGTGGTACTGCAAGCATTACCCCATGAGGTCATAAACTGTGACGAGTAGTTTTACCAGATCCAAACCTGTACAACCAAAAACATCGATTTCGAGTTAAAAGAGCAGTTACCGGAGTATTTCTGCAGCTTCGAAAAGAATATCATGGACTATGTACAGAAAAATCAAGCTGTGAGAAATGGTCTTTAGTTGCGATCTTTCGGAAATCTCCTTAAACGAGTTCTACGTAAAAGAATTTTCTGGAAATTTACTGTTACTGATAGTAAACAGACACGAGTACTTGCTGTCGATAAAACAGTACTTCCTCCTACTCCGGTCGGAGAAGCAGACAAGTCGTCGCGCATGCGTGCCATAGCTGCGACCCCTGGGGAACTCATGACCCACACTCTCATGATGACAATTATTTCAAAGAATAGCCCTGATTAGAGAAAACTGTGGGTATGAGAAACAGAGCTAATGTGAAAGTTTTTCACTATTTATTGATTGATCATGTTCCGACGAAGCTGTCCCAGAACAATAAATACTGGAAATTTTCGGAAATCGATAGTTGCGGGCCGATTTGGTTACTACAAAAGGCAGAGACTAGTAACTTGTATATCCATGCTAGGTAGTATCCCCTGAATTTCAGAGAACTCAAGAAAAAAACGCAAGCATTCGATTTGAATCCTTCAGTGGTTCGGGAAAATTCGTGCTGAATCATGCTCTACGGGCAACATCTGAACAAATACCAATTCCTACGTATTTCAAGTGACGTCATTTTTCATTTCCTGGCATATTCGGCAAATTTCACCCTCTAGGACAGGTTTCTTATCATGGTAAGCTTCTTTCAGCTAGAAGAAAATTATATTTTGACTTTTCTTACTCCATGTCGCTTTTTTTAAACTTATCTTCAATTTAATGGCTTACCCGGGGTATTGATCAGTTTTCTGGAAAATTATAAAATTGCAGCCATTCAATATGAAGAGGAGTTTTCTTATATAATGCAAATATTTGGCACCTTTTAATAAAAAGCATTACTGGTAACTGTTCAGTCCATTTCGAAATACATGTACAGCTTTGCAGAATTCCAAAATAAATCCATATAATAGCCATAAATATGAAACAGGGCCTGAAATTGTCACAGAAAGTGGCTGACTAGCGTTTAGATTCCAATTTATGGCAGGGTAGTTCCTGAAACCTCCTCAGAACTCGGCTGACCTTTGTCAACGGGACAACAGGGTCGGTGGTGATTTTCGGGTTCACTCTAAGGATCTGGGATATCAAGATTGGATTGTGTGAAGTGTTGAGATAGGATATGCTTGTGGCATTTCGTGAAGGACCACAAGTACTACGTAATGTCCTTGACGTTGCGCTTGATGCGTTAATTACCCGCACGTTGCCAGCGGAATGATCGACACCGTATCGGGGGCATTGGCGGGAACTGTTGGGTCGGCCACGCCTCCATGAGTCGGTGTATAACATCCCGTGATTGTCACTCCACGTCCTCATATATTCCTTCACATATTCAGTAACTAGTAACTGTTACTAGTAACCGTATTCTGTGATGTGATCATACCTGTTCGACGGGAGTCATCGTCCTATTGGTACAATGACACTGTTGCGAACTGGGATGGTCAAAGGCATTCGTCCCGTGTACGTCATGAATTCGTACGTCTTTCCCGGAATCGTCCTGATTTCTGAAATTCCATCAGAATCCCTTGGATGTGGCTCGTCTTCACTCCGATTCGCCGGTAGTCATCGTCATCGGTGAGCACTATGACACTGTCGCGAATTGGGGTGATTAGAGCAGTCCCCAATACTTTTTTTATTTAAATATTTTTATATTCCATGCTGTCAACTTGCTGAATAGTCTTGCTATTTCACTTATTCTTATTTTTTCTTATCTTGTTTTTCTTGTTTTGGTTATTTTTATGTGCTTTATTTTTATTTGTTCATTTACGGCATCACTCCACTGTTGTTATTATGGTTAAGGAAAAAAATAACTTTCGAGAAAAATCTATCTCATCTGGATTTCTTCCTTTATTTTCTTTTCACCTGGAAAATCAGTAATGGAATAGGTGTAAAACCGTTTTACCTTTGAATTTACTCTTGGAATGAACCCAAGTTTTTACGGTAATTGCAGTCATATTCGGAACAATTACAGCTGCAATTTCTTTAAAATAACTGATAATTATGAAGTTTTAATTATTTTAACTGTACACTTCTGAACGATGAATTTTTCGGTAGCCATAGAAACCATAGTAACTGGGTCAGATTATTGCTCTTAGGGCAAGTGGGGACAAGAAAATTGAAAAGGGGCATCGAACTGAAAAATCGATATTTCATGGTCAGTCCACGATGAATAGCGCCAGCGCCCGGCAGAGGTGGTCTATGCTGCGCCTTTGTTGATTTGAATTTTCTCAATGTCAGTTGGCGTTGTATGGCGACGGCATTGAAGGTAAAAAAGGAAGAAAAGTCGTTTATACCCAAATCATTTCAAGAAATTACTGTGAACATTACTGTACAAGTTTAGAACGCCTTCGATTAAATGCTGTGATGAAATTTCGAAGTTCACGTTTTACCGCTGGTGACACAGCAATCTTCTCGTGCTCTCTGTCTGAAAATCGAAATCATTGAGAAAGAGATAGCGGGGGTTTTTTAGCAAGCATTGTTAAAAGTTGATTCAAAGTAGGGGTCGAAGATGAGTAATACTTGATGAGTCGATGGTTTTGATGATGGTTTTTTAGGCCACGTCATGCAAACAGATGAGAAACCGTTGCCATCGATTGGAAGCAAACTTGGTTCAAGGACGGTCCCCACATAAAATACGAGGGGAGGATTTTGTACAAGTCCCAGCTGAAGTGGGCAGCCCTTGCCTAGGGGCAATGAAACGTCACTGAAGCAGAACTTTGGGTTCATGTAGGTTTACTAATCAAGTATGTCAATCATTTCTTAAATAATTCTGTTTACACTGTTGAATTTAGGGATCTGGCCCAATTCACGTCAGAATGGGACGCTTGAAAGGACGTTGTATGATTGATGCCTGCTCAATTACTAAGTATCTACGGCCGACGTCCTCTACAATCGATCAATATCGCATACTTGTACTGCCCTTGTACCAGCAACAATCCCAGAACTTGAACTTCGAAGGTAATCAAGATCGAAATTCATAGAGCTTTCAAAAAAGGCTCACAGTGATCTAGGAAGTGGGTTTCGTCGTCGATTAGGTCTGTTACCCATAGTACTTTATCGGGCTGCTGTAGCTCCCTTGGTAGTAATGCCAATGTTATCAATGCTGACCAATTCCCTTAGGATACGCCAGGCATCTATAAGTGGAGGCTATTCGGGAATGTGGCTCATGAGGGGTTATACCCGATTTTCATATAATTCCGTTCATTACAATGACTTTTATCCAATATTTCTTCATGTTTACTTAGTTGTTCCAATTTTATTTCCTCCTTCAGCTCAACCTTCAGACACATCACTTGTAAGGGCTTAGGTCTTCCAGAACTGTAGTAGAAAATCCTAACCTTCTAAAATGCTCCCGTCTCGAAAGGACACTGTCAGACTCTCCCATTCAATACCACTGCCAGGCTCACCCTGCGCGGCTGAACTGTTCGGCGGTACCTTACTAGTACTGATGAATTTTTAGGAGGTTATTACTGGATCACCGTCTACATAAGCCATTCCTGTGCGGCTGTCGCTTTTCAAACGGAATTGGTCTCTTTTTTTTTACGAAACCGATCAATAAAATTTATCTGGATCCACTGGATTGGGTTGGATGGATTGAGCTCATACTCATGAGTAGTATAGAGAACTGAGGACTAACAGCTCCGGGGTCCCTTGACCCACGATAATGAAGCGGTTTTACGAATTCATTAATAATAAATATTATATTTGGAGAGCAGGATGGAACGTGTAACGAAGTATGTGCTTTAACAACGTAGTGCGTTTTTTCATTGTTTTCACAATGAAAAAGCTCGTAAAAGGTCTTTTCCTTAGCAGGAGGTTACTGAGTTTTTTGGTCCATCTGTGTAATACACCTCTTCCAATTGTTCCTATGGAATTGTGCTATATTTTTCACAGGCTCATTCCAACAATGTAGATAACGCTTCCCCTTACAATCACTTAAATTCAGGAGGGGGTCCGGTTCTTTTAGTGAGCATATTGCAGTTTGGAATGCAACAGACGTTAAATTTCTGAGACAGCATGTTTCGTCTTCTGACATAACCAGCAGGTGGGTGGTCGCTTGGCCAGGTTGCGTCAGAACCAGGCATTCGAACCGGGACCCAAGGTCGCATTACCGTTCGAGAGGGTATTAGTTACGTGCTGGATTTGGCAAGGCTGGATACAGTAATCATTTTTATATAATTGATTAATAATGTGATATATTAAAATAATAAATTTGATTTTTTGTATATAAATAGTCTTAAACGGAGGACAAAGTTTTCGACGTTAAACAATTTTTCGGCTTCCATTCAAAATCGTAGTGGTATTTGAATGCGTATGTGGCCTATACAATGACTTGCGGTGGCCAGCCGATGTATAAGTCAGTGCTTTTATCCTCCCAGACAAGTCTGGTACCATTTAACCGACCCGAAGAGATGGAAGGCATGGTTGGTTTGGACCAATACCGATCCGGGATTCGAACCCGTGGTCATGCGTGTCCGATAGTGCGTTACTTGCCGCTACACCACCTCGGCTCAATTTTTTATGCATTTGTTAATGGTATTTTTAGTTTTTATATGTATTAAGAGGCAAACAAATATATGAATAAAAAATGCAAAGACGACATTAGGATAAGACTAAAAATATGACTTCATATGGAAGGTATCTATCTCAACAGGGATCATAAGCCACATTCGGTGTATTGGAGCAAAAATTGTCGTTCGATCACTATTGATTGATGTGTATTCATTGACTCGTCTAGGTCGGACATCGCTTTGGCAACGAAGCGATCAATGGATTATTCAGAAGAAGAATTCAAACGAACCCTTCTCTTTTGAGAACATTGGGTGTTCAGGGTTCAGGACCCGACTGGAACCGAATGGCTGGCCCGTACCCGCATGAGGTATACCCATTTGCACTCGCAATTGAACTGAGCAATCCATCGCATGGTCAGCCTTTTGCGTGGAATCTTTCGTAAAACGGTGACTGTTTCCGTACAAACCCTGCACAAATTTTTGAAGGCTCTCTCTTCCTTGATAGGCTTTTCAAAGGGAACTGGCTTCTTTACAGGTAAATATGGTAAAAATAGGATATAACTGTAAGAAGCTGTAATAATAATAGATTCTTCAAATAATCAAGAGTTTCAAAAGAACATTTATCACTCGTAACCTCAAAGAAACCAAATCTGGCCTCCGATATCCCGGCCATCAGATTGCCACCCGAACCCATGGCCATTAACTTGTCACGTAGGGTGATAAGTGTTACCATAGGAATTGTTACTTTTATTGTTAGTCAAATTAACTGGTAGCTATGTCCTAGTTGGTGGGTAGATTGGAAAATTCCCACGTTATTGAGAGCTCAGGAACTTCAAGAAACTGGGATTTCCTGGTCACCTCCTAATTGAGCTGGATAAGTCGTACTGCTGAACTTCACAGCTGGAATGAAGTAGAAATAGAAGATTATTTAGTAAACAACATCTACATCAGATGTTTACCCATATTTTCATATTGAGTAGACGCTGATCTATCTTCCTTGACCCCTCTGACAGTTAATTTCCTGTTTCAACTCCACTCCCCTTCTGAATGAGTAAATTATACGGCTGCTTCCTCTATCGAAGGTTCATCCATCACTCAGGGCACGGGATGAGTGGGCTGGTGCTGCAGAAGATGTGTTGCATTATACCTAGACCTTCAATCCTGGACCTATAGCCCGGATTTCTGCATCTCAAATCGCGCCTACTCAAAACCTGACCTGCAGTATAGGGTATGATAGGAGCAGAGCCCTGGCGGATGGGGGTCTTTTCCGCTAGGGGTGTTGATGAATTGAAAAGCTCTTCAGAAGTCGGGGTATTAGCCACTTTACGGATACCTTATGCATGAATACCATACTGTTATCCTTCCATATCGTGAGAGCCGAAGACATGCAACGCTGGTGTGGCTGATGGGGTGCATTGTTCAGCTGCCCTCCTTCCTATTGTCTCAACATCCTCATTGTCGTCCACAATTTTTGATCAAAATGGGCTGTCACGCAAGCGTTTTCCAGCAAACAAATTCTTTGCCGAACTACTCGTAAAATTCGCTTGTAATAGGCTAGGTCAGATTAGTCCTTTCTTGCGATTGTTTACTTGTTTACATACATCTGTTCGGTGGGTTTGCTAAGGTGGGCCCCGTCTGTAAACAAAAAAACAAGGGCAAAATTCGAATGAAAAAAAAACAAAGCGGGTCAACTCGTACATCGATTGCTGATTCGTCGTAGTGCTCGTTTTGCAGCAGCACTCAAATGACTGAGTTCACGTTCCCTAGCTTTCAGCACGTAACGTCGTTTTGTTGCCCAGCGATTGTACTCCTCCAACTGCTTAGCAGTAAGTAGTGATACAGCCAATGTATGTATCTGAAATAAAGGAATGTAATTTTGGATTGGAGCCGGAAAAATTGGATGGAAGGTCTATGAGTAATCCGTCTCAGACGAGTGGGCCTATCCAACAGTCCAGGGAGTCGAGAGCCGGGCAGTAGGATCGATATTGTGCAATCGATCCGTCGCGCGCGGCAGTCGCGGACCATTCACCTCGTCATTACAATTCTAGCAATCCTCATACAGCTCAATCGATATGCGATTATTATTTTTGGCATCACTTTGTCGTTAGTTCTTCTTGTTCCTTTATTTACTCATTCTGCTACATTCCTTCGCGCGCGATGTCCCTCTTGCCGCGACGCGACAACTTCGATCCTCTTCCATCACACCCATCCCCAATTCTTACGGCAAGAGGCCGTAATTATCCGATTACTGGATCCTTCCATTGGAAACTCGAACCGTTATCTTCAAAGCGCGCGACTGCGCGCGATCGGGTGTGGCGAGCGTCCGATTTTCGGACAGAAGTTACCAAGTCCAGTTAGTTTAAAGAACTTGCCATTGGGTATAATGGACTTCTCGAGAGTTAAGGCCAAATGATCGTGATGATGCTATAGGCCTCATTCTTTCTAGGGGCATAATAAAGAAGACTTCGGTTAGGAGCTGTCCTTTCATATGCCAAACAGTTATTTGGTGCGCCGTTTTGTAGGCCCGTTTGTCGGTCTCACAGTTACTTGTTATGTCCGTCCGTCGGCGAAATTTTTCGCCATCGTGATAAAGGGTGACATGAAAAACCTGCCGCAAACTAAGGTAGTAACACTTAGAAGGAAGCTCAAAAAAGTGGGTTGGTGGGCACTGGATTGGGGAGGGGTTGGGACACCCCGCGTCTTTAGAGCGCAGATATGGAGAAGAATCTGATCTCGCCCATCCCCTCAGTACTCCCTCCCTCCAAGGCCTGACTCACCGCGCCTTCTTCCACGTGCTTCTTCCAACCTGAAACCTATGTGGAAAACTGTAGTCCCTAGCTTAGAAACGTTCTTAAGCAGCCTAACGGGCTCGCAAAGTGGGCTCCACTCCCTGTTGGCTCTAGTGCTCAAGGTCAGCGACAACCCCTCCTCCCTTACTACATTTTTATGTGAGTTAGAGGCACTACTAGGGATTTCCTTTACAGTCGTACATATAGGAAACCCTAGATTGTCTGATTCGGAGTCTATAGGTTAGAGATATCCGATGTGAAAAAAGCTTATTCTGCCCTGGATCCGCCAAAATGTACTGGAAATCTTACCTTGAGGTTTCTGAGTGATTCACTAGGAATATCATCATCGTTCCAAACTCTTTCGAATTTACGTCGAACTTCTGGAGCGGCCGAATGAAGAAATGTAGCTCCTGCTGCGTTGTTGAATCGCCTCATGGCGATGTCATCAATGGTAGCCTGATGAGGATTAGATTTTTCAGGTCCCTAGAGCAGAAGAATTAAAATTCGGTAAAAATCAAGGAGGTGGGGTGAATTTTCGGCAGCATCAGATGCTGGGAGAGGTGCTTGGAAAGGAGCTTCTGCCCCCAAGGCCGAAGGGGGTATCATTCAGGAGTAATATGGGGTCGGTATCGATCGACATAGTGTAAGTGAAGTATAAACCTCATCAAATCGTATAGGTTCCGGAGGGGATTTCTGATGAACATCATCATCTGCTATGAGAAGTGGAAATGCCGTATTCTGAATATACATGTAAATCAAGCGATTAACAAGTTTTGATATAAATATTAACTCATCGGAATCTTCTCACAAGAGGTTCATCGTCATAATCATCACTGGCAGGTGTTGTCGCAGCAGGAACAATTGACCGACGTACGCTGCTGTTTATTGCAGTTGTTCCTGAAGCTATTGTTACTCATTGTTTCCGACGAAGCTGTTTCTCAGAGCAGAATTAGCTAGTTTGAAACATGAAAAACTTGTTTGCTTCTAAGAACTTCCTCCATTGTTAGGTATTAGAGCTGATCCCTTTGTTGCCCACCACCGAAGCTCCCAAGCTCCAAGGAACAGGATGGGGATATCGTCACAAAAATAAAAAAACCATGAGAGCAAATGGGGATCGACCGTCCCAGTCGATAGGAAATCCGAAAATTGGGCGCCGCGATTAAGCCTCGTGAGCTTGCTTACTCAATGGACCTCCCAAGACGAAAAGAATTCTGAGATCATTGTTGTGTGTAGAAGAGGCTGCATCACACCCAAAATAGAGTAATAAAACAAGCGAAAAATGCTTTCCGAAATGAACCTCGGCCTATCATGAAGTGCTCAGAGGTTCATCAGAGAAAACCGGAAACCGGAAATCGAAGTTTTGCTCATTTCTTAGTTACAAGATGGAGTTGCAAACAAAGGGCTCTTTGTCTGTTGGGATCGGAATTTAATAAAATTATATTGCCTCATTGCTCTGGCGTTTCAGTGGAACCGGTCACAGATTGATTAATTTATTGCTAGATTGACTTGAAGATTCAGAAAAATTAGGACAGATTAAGAAAGATTTTAATTACAGTATTCCAGTTCTGTACAGGTTCCTTATCAGGTTCTTGAATGTCTGGTTGATTTTCTTCGTTTAAAAGAGAGTTTGTCGTTTGATAGTGGTCCTTTCTATGACCTGATTCGATGATTTTGACGAACTAATCGGGAACTGGGTCCCTTTAAGAATATTCGATTTTTTCAGCACTTGTTTAGGCCGGGTGCCCATATAATTACCTCTAGGATTGTGAGTTGAAGCCGACTGCGTGGCGTATTCTAACGGATTGGGAGCCAGTGTAGGCGTAGTGGGAGACTGTTGACATGCTTCATTCGCTCCAAAGTCTTCATATTCGTTTAGCAAAGTCATCATGTGGAGGAAGTAGAAGCTGTTCGAGTTTATTCAGCCTGAGGGAACAGGAAAAACCNCCCATATCATCATTTGGCCTGTATGATGGGACGTTAACATATCTTGTAGGGTTCACTAAACCGGTCCGATTGTAGCTTAGTTATGAGTTATGACTCTATTACAATGAAGTCTTTTCGTGGACAATGCTCGTTGTTGAGAATGCAACTGTTGATCACTGGGTTCATGATGGTTTGCTGTTGAAACAGGAAGTTTTCCACTAATCGAGACAGCCCATCAGTCGAAAGGGGGTGTGGTGCAGTAGGAACGAAATTGCCGCATCGCAGCGAGAGAGACGTCGCGCGCGAAGGAATGCAGCAGAATGCAGCAGCAACTAAGAACTAACGCTAGAACTGTTATACCGAGGCAAATGGTCCGCGACGCCGCGTGCGGCGGATTGATTGCACAAAATCGTTCTTACTGCCCGTCTCTCGCAGAAAGATTCCCTCAACGGCTTTTTCGATACCCAAACATTTACATTTTCTGTTACTACACCGTTCCTAATCAAAATTGTACGGTATATAGAAGTCGTAGGCAGCTGAAGCGAGGGACGCAGAAAATTGTGACTCTTTCTTTGGTAGCGCATGGCCTAAGTCCCTTGAAGCGGTTTTTCTCGCTACCTCTTGTAGGCTTTTACTTCGGTCACTCCAAATTTCATAATGTAAAATTGCAGGAAAAGTAAAAATGCCATGGAATTGAGTTAACTTACTTTTTCCAATGAAGTCACTGCTAAATGTACGTACAACGTTGAGAACATCTTGTTGTATGGCAAGCTCTTTTTTGCAAGGTGTGCCCTCGATGTAGGTGCTCCTAGAGATTTAAAAAATGAGATTAAGGTTGTAAGTACTGTCGAGATCGAAAGATGTTAACTGGAACGACTGAGTGCCTACCAGTCAGACAGGGAAAAGCTGCACCACCATGTCAGCTCCCAGAGCTGCCCTCAACTCAGTCCACTCAGATTTGCCCAAGTGGACCCCTCCCCACATAAACCAAGCATTCCGGCTTGCTCGGTATATAATGAAAAATAAGACATTTTGATAAAATTCACCAAAGGTCTCTCAGTTCCACTTGAGCATAGTCTGGGAGCGAATCAATGTTTGCTGGTAAACCGCATTCTTGTTGTTGTTTTACCTAAAAACTTCACCAGTAAAAGTAGAGTAATCTGAGCTTTGTGCCGCGTTCTTACAACAAAGACTTGCAATTATTACAAGTTAGCCCTTACTCAAAAGGTAGCTATTATCTAATCGATACTCTAAAATTACGGTATTTAGTTTCTGATACTACTTATGAAAGCATTCAAACTACAAGAAATTGTTACTTTACAATAATTTCTTCGATTTAGTTGAAATTTTCTGTATTGGAGCGGATAAGTTCATATATCCTTCTCGTACTCAGAACGAAGAACTTCGACTAGTTAATTTACCACGACTTACCACGATTTATCGCGATCTACCACGATTCATCGAGACTTATCACAACTTACCACCGTTTATCACGATTTACTACTGCAAGAACCTACTTTCTGTGATAGTGCTCGTCCACTGGTAGCGAGTAGTAGAAAAGCTGTAGATAGCTGTGAGATGAGCATGGATGCTATGGAAAATGACGAGACCAAGAAATTGAGATGCAGAGCAATACGGTCGCAATTACCCCTCCAAACAGGTATGACTGCAGTGGCGGCGCACAGAATAGGGAGGGAGGAGGAGAGGGCGGAGGAGTCCAGATGAAGCCTCGTCCTGGACCTGTCTTTAGCTACTAAGGGGGGCCGGTTACTCGATGACATAACCACAAGGCCGATTCAGCTTCATCGGCGATGAAGGAGATGGCTGCCTTTCACTTTCCATAAAGTCGCGTTCGGTTTTTGCCCCTTAAAACGGCGAGAACTATATCGAGACTCTGACAGGAACTTCACTATACTTTTAGTATTGTTACTATTGAAGTATGGAATCTGATAAACTACTCGTTACTAGGCAGTAATATCCTACTTAGTTCTCAGGAATTAGCAGCAACTGAAGTAACAAATTTTGTTACTTCGTACTTTCCAAGTTTTGCAGGAGGAGTAATATGTATTGGACACAATACTGACGCTTTATTTATTCCTTTACTTCTCACTATTACTTTGGAAATGTATTATAAGTAATTACTGTTTTCGGGATCAGCTCTGGTGGGATCAAAGAGATTTTGAAGAAAACTTGTGGGGCCTGTAGTTTGAAGGTTGAAATCCCACAATGGACTGCGATAATAAAATTAATAATTGTATGTATTACAGAAGTTTGAAAGTGAAAGCGAATAGTAATGCAACTAATATAGTTACCCGCATAAGGAATTTGATACACTTAAAAATGAAATGTGTTCCAGTCAAATGACTGGGAAGGAAGTCATTTCAAAATGGGTTCATCATTGTCGAAAAAGTTCGTCCCTTTTCCAGTCATCTGGCTGATTAATTCACAGAGAAACGGGCCAAAGATATAGTTTGAACACTGCTGGTGCAAAAAATAGGGCTGCTTTTTTGGGCTTTGCTTTTGACATGAACTTCTACAGCTATGTGGTGGGCTAAGAGTACAGGTGTTTTTCAGCGGTGAGAACATCATCGCGATCGTGTAAAGGCTTGGTTGTATATCTTTTAGTTCTTAATTTAGTGAGCTGATAGAGAAAGAACTGTGGCAGTCATCGGGTGTGGTGCAGTAGGAACGAAATTGTCGCTCCGCAGCAGAAGGACGCCGCGCGCGAAGGAATAATTTATGGCATGATTCTACTGTTAGTTCTTTTGTTCCTGTATTTCTTTCATGCTGCTGCATTTTGCTACAATCCGCCGTGCGCGAAGGAATGTAGCAGAATGCAGCAGCAAGTGAGAAATACAGGAACAAAGGAACTAACAATAGAATCATGCCAAAAATGATAATCGCATATCGATTGAGCTGTATGAAGAACGCTAGCACTGTTATAATGGTCGAATGGTCCGCGACAGCCGCGTGGGCAACTGATTGCACAAAACTGTACATACTGCCCATCTCCCATGAACTTCTACAGCTGTGCGGTGGGAGAGGAGTACAGGTACAGGTCCAGGTGTTTCTGAGTGAGCGGTGAGAACATCACTACGACCTCCTACCTCCGGAAGCATGTACCCAGCATGTGTTTTGTCGGTATCGAATGATAACCTTTTCCGAGCCTTCATTTCTTAACGTGTTTGGCTGCTTTCATAGTCCGCCGGCCGGCCGGCCGGCGTGCCGGC